TCGGCGACAAATGCAAGTACTCTCATGCAACGACACAATCAGCTACACAGGGCACGGGCAATTCATCGTATGCTACTAATACTTTGACTACAGTGCCCACTCCGCAACCTACAACTACTACTATGGCACAGTTCAGCCTGCACAAGACCCCACATTGCCTGGTCACACTACCAGATCACAATGCTACGTCAAGTGAGAAGTATGTTGCGTTGATCGACACAGGCAGTTATGAGAGCATGATCTCTCATAAGCTTGTCGCCGAACTTGGTCTACCTATGAGGTATCTCGACGTGCCCTACACAGCCTACATTATGAATGGCGAATGCATTATGTATCATGCAACTGTTACACTTACATGGCGGTTCGCGGATAGCACAGACATCGAGATCAATTCTTCCTTCTTGGTGTCCCCTCGTCTACCCGAACCATTCCAATTCGTATTCGGCTCCGACTTGCAAAATTCTAAGGGGTTCTACTACAACCCTGTCATCCAGAAGCTGGTTATTGTTGGGGAAATTCCCCCTGTACAGCATCCCGATGACGATGGTGCATCAGGCTCTGCGGTCGAGCTAAGTCTCACAACAGCCTCGGATTCATCATTCGTCTTGCAGAATTCAGATACTACCGGGCGAGATAATCTACAAGCTAGCCAATCTGAGAAGACCAATCTCACTGAGGCAACCTCACCTTCCGAGACCACAGTCGTTATGGAGACTCCCCACTTCATCATAACTGCTACCCAAGACACCGACGACCTTCAGACGAATGTCTTCACTGTGGATATCAAAGCTGCGAGTATGCCTGCTCGAAAGGCTCGCCCAAATAAACTCTCGCATCATCATCCCCTCAACAAACCAGATGCTACCGACCCTACGTTGTTCGATGAGACTCGAGCCCGATTGGAAGGCCTCATTCAAAGAGGATGTTTGGCTCCTACAACCGATGACGATGACGGCTTTATGTACCTTACCACGACATATTATGGCGTACGAGGATCGAAAAGGGCACGACCCGTATTCCCCTTCAGGAAGCTCAATGATGCGACCGTGCAACTTCTCAAGGACTGCCCTGTCCGACAAGATCCGTTGTACTCCATTCTTGACGCTACAAGAGGGTATAGCACTCTGAAGCTGATGGATGTCTCGGATGCATTCTTCCGCATCCGGACGGGGCCCAACTTACGACAAATAATGACGGTGTTTATCGACGGTCAGCGATTCTTTTTCTGCAACCTACCCTACGGGCCTAATTTTTCGCCATTCGTCCTACTCGCATGTATGTCCCATATTTGTACCACCGCGAAGTCACCTTACAACATCAAATATTATATGGACGATGTCGCTACGGATCATCCACATCCT